CCTAAAATTGTCTGAGTAATAATTCCCTAGAGGGCTGCTGCAGGGTGTGGTGTGTGTGTGTGTGTGTGTGTGTGTGTGTGTGTGTGTGTGTGTGTGTGTGTGTAAGTCTGGCAGGGAGCCTGGCTTGGTGAGTGCCCCATCCTCAGGGTCTTAGGGAGGAAGGTGTCAGTAATAGAGTGTGGAACTGGGGAGGGCTGTAGTCCAGATAGGTTAGAGGTGATTTGGGAATGGAAAGCAGGAAGACGTAGCTAGGTGTCTCAGGGGCAGACTCGACCAAAGCAGGCTGGAGCACAGTTGGAGGGCAGGAAGCTGTGTCTCCTCTTGTCCTATCCTCTCATCTGGCCTCAGGCCCCAACCTCCCCAAGTCCCACTGTCTCCACACAGTGAAGGGGCAGAACTCAGACACCTAGAGGCCCAGATCCATCGCTGTGAAGACATTCTACAGCAGCTTCAGGCCGTGGTACCCCAGATTGACATGGAGGGGGATCGAAACATCTGGATTGTGAAGCCAGGAGCCAAGTCCCGAGGCCGAGGTAGGGGAGCAGCCTCTTCTTCCGGTTTTAGTACCTTTATCTACCACTAGAACTGCCAGGTTTGGATCTCAGCTCTGTTACTAATATGCTGTGTGACCTTGAACAAGTTGATTCACCTCTCTGAACCTGTTTTCTCCGTAGTGAAATGGGGATGGTGCTAAGTCTGTCAGGTGACGGCTAAATGCAGCACACACCTGCATGGTGTGTGGTCGGTGGTCCCCCCACTGATGGGGCTGCTTTGCTTCTCACTACCCATAAGACCTTTTCTGAGCCTTACCTTCACTGTGTACACATGAGGGTCCAGCATCATCCTGGCCTTTAAAGACTATAGAAGGCCTCCCGAGAAATAGACAGAAATTTTATAATGATGATATTCTTTATTGAAAAAGAGCTATATGTCAATGTACAGGTGAGTGATGTCACAAAGTGACCACACTGTATCTCTGGTTCCAGGGGATCCAATCCTCTTCTGGCCTCCACAGACCCCAGGCACGCATGTGGCACAAAGACAAATGTAAAACATTTATACATTTAAGATAAAAGTGAACTTAAAAAAACAGAAAAAGGAAAGTGTATCTGTGCCCCGGGCACTAGATTATCATCCAAAGTGGAAACAAAAGCAACGTTCAAGGCCAGCCTTGGCTACACAGTAAGATGAGACCAGCCTGGACTACATGATAACCTGTCACACACTAAATAAAAGGAAGAAAAAAAAGAGAGGGAGAACGAGCTGGGCAGCGCGGCACATGCCTTTAATCCCAGCACTCAGGAGGCAGAGGCAGGTGGATCTCTGTGAGTTCGAGGACAGCCTGGGCTACAGAGCGAGATCCAGGCCAATCAGAGCTACACGGTGAGACCCTCACTCAGAAAGAAAAAGAGAGAAAGAAGAAGGGAAATGAGAAAAGCAAAAAGGAAAGAAAACACATGTGTCCTTGGACGTGAGACCTTGCAGCCAGAGTTAGTTGTAACAGAGTGAGGTGGCCCTGCTTCATCCCATAGCCTCGCCAAGCTCCACGAGCCTATGAGAGCAAAGCATAGATTAGTCGTGCAACCTGGAAAGCTCTGCATGGGATCTGGGCACAGCAGCTAGCTTCACCCTGGACAACCAGGGAGGTTTCTGTAGCCTTCAGTTTCCTAGTCTATTCATTGTTGGAGGGAAGCAGTGTATGTTCTTGGTCCACAGTATCTAAATGTGCACAAGAATGGTCAGAGGACATCTTAGGGGTCTGTTCTAAGAAGTGGACTCAGGTGATCAACCTTGGTGACAAGTGCCTTTGCCCACTGCCCATCTTGCCCTTATTTAATTTTTTCTAATGTTTATTTAATATTGTGTGGATGTGTTTTGCCTGCTTGTATGTATGTGCCCTGTGTGTGTTCCTGTTTCCTATGGAGGCCAGAAGAGGGTGTCTGGTCTCCTGGAACTGGAGTTCTGCCATATGAGTGCTGGGGTCCTCTACAAGAACAGCAAATGCTCTTAATGTCAACCATCTCTCCAGCCCCCCAACCTTCGGTTAAATTTTAACTGTATATAGCAAAACAAAGCTTATCAAACAATTAATTAGATTGGGGTGATGGGATACCTGTGGTCCTCCGGTCCTTCTCCAAGCCTTTCGGTCCCTGACTCCCTGGGCTCCCCCTCAGGTATTATGTGCATGGACCACCTGGAGGAGATGCTGAAGCTGGTGGACTGCAACCCCATGCTCATGAAGGACGGCAAGTGGATTGTGCAGAAGTACATCGAGCGGCCCCTGCTCATCTTCGGCACCAAGTTTGACCTGAGACAGTGGTTCCTGGTGACGGACTGGAACCCACTCACGGTGTGGTTCTACCGAGACAGCTACATCCGCTTCTCCACACAGCCCTTCTCCCTGAAGAACCTGGACAAGTGAGCCTTCCCTCCACCTCCCCTGACCGCCCCGCCTAGTGGGGAAGTTGGCAAGCAGAACAGTGGACTCTGCAGGCAGGGAGGTGGCTCTTCACCACCACCACCCATCCTCCACCGCAGGAGCTTGCCAAGAGGGTGTCCTTGGGATACAGAAACGAGCAAAACAAGAACTCCAGCTAATCAAGGGCTGACATCCTAGCAATGAGCTTGAGTAATCACGGCTAACAGACTAGAAGGTGATGTGTGTCATGAAGAAGATGTAGGTCTGGGTCATGGCAGACTAAGAGAAACTTGAGAGGGAAAGGCAACTTGTGGTTTGCTCTTGGGATGAGAGGAAACCTTGATGAGGCCTGGGTTCAAATTCCATCTCATCAGCATCCAGGTTGTGTTGCTCTAGAGATGCGGGAAAACTATTTAAGCCTCAGTTTCTGTCGGGGCACAGTGGTCCCATCTGTAATCCCAGCACTTGGGAGGCTGAGTCTGAAGGATTTTGAGTTTAGAGACATCCTGGGCTATATAATAAGACCTCTCTCGAGACAAAACAAGCCAAATGTGGTAGCTCGTGACTGTAATCCTAGAACTTGGCAGGCTAAGGCAGGAGCCAAAATCAAGCCAGGTACAGTAGTGGATGCCTGTGATCCTAGTGCTTGGAAGGTAGAGGCAGGACAATCAGTTCACCGTCATCCTCAGCTACACGGCAAATTTTAATCTAGCCTGGGTGACATGAGACCATTTCAAAGAAACAGACCAGCCTCAGTCTCCACATCTGAAGACTGGAGCAGCAATGCACTGTAGCTGTCTATCATCAAGCACTCCACATATGATAAGTGCTTCTGCTGGGTGATACCACAGTCATTTCTCAAGCATAAAGCAGTGAGCTATTGCCATTTTAAAGATGAGTGAGGCAAGCAGGGTAAAAGATTTGCCTGAGACCTCACAGCTGGTCATTGGGGAAGCTGGGATTTGACCACCCAGGGCCCACCCTCTCCCTGTCTTTTCCCTGCCACACACACGAAGGGTGAACTGGTGACTGTGGCCTGTCAGCAACACCTGAGTGTTCTGAGAAAGGAATGGCCCTGGTCTCAGGTGAATGGGGGTGGGGGGTGGGGGGCAGGGGTGGGGCGGCCTCTGTGCTTCCGTCCTGTTGATCTTCAGCAGAGGCCCATCTCAGTTAAGCTCACCAGGACGGCTGACAGCAGGGCTCCTGCCTGCAGCCCTGAAGCTGGACTCCAGGACTCAATGTTGTCTCTGCTCCACTCTAGCTCCGTGCACCTGTGTAACAACTCCATCCAGAAACACTTGGAGGCCTCCTGTCACCGGCACCCCATGCTGCCCCCCGACAACATGTGGTCCAGCCAAAGGTTTCAGGCCCACTTGCAGGAGTTGGGCGCCCCAAATGCCTGGGCTAGCGTTATTGTACCTGGCATGAAGGCTGCTGTGATCCACGCCCTGCAGACCTCCCAAGACACCGTGCAGTGCCGGAAGGCCAGCTTCGAGCTCTATGGGGCCGACTTTGTGTTTGGGGAAGACTTCCGGCCCTGGTTGATTGAGATCAACGCCAGCCCCACCATGGCACCTTCCACAGCGGTCACTGCCCGCCTCTGTGCAGGGGTGCAAGCGGACACCCTGCGTGTGGTCATTGACCGGCGGCTGGACCGCACCTGTGACACAGGAGCCTTTGAGCTCATCTATAAGCAGGTGAGATGTTCCAGCACCTTCCACAGGCAACCCCACAGCAAAGCCCTGGGGGCTGCTGTGAGACACAGTGCAAGACCTGTGTGCTTGGCCTGCCCCCACAGAATGTCCTAACATAGACATGTCCCTCTGGCCTGTCTCCTCATCTGTGGAGGTCACTGTCCTCTGAGAGCCATTAATGCCATGAGTTCGTACTCACAGATAATATTTTCAGAGGTTCTGGGGTCTGCTCAGTTTCCAATAGAAGCCTCTAGGTAATAGCCTCATTCCCTTGTCTGTGAAGTAAGATGGTACCTGGCTCCTCCTTTGTGTGTTGTAGGAATGAAGTAGTTTGATCTTCACACAGGGGTTTGCTGGGGTGCCTAGCCGGAGGACACAGGGCCGCTTTAGCTACTACGGTCTCTGCCCAGGAAGGCTGCTGGGAGCTCCATCAGCTGCACGGCCTATCAAAAGTCAATTAGTGGTATCTGTTATTGTTGTTATAATAGTGATTATTACTGTGTTATTCATCTTCTTCCAAAAGCAGATTTGATCTCGCTTGTTTATAATAAGTATAGGATTGTCTATTATTCAGCCAAAAATAATACTTTGTTTTATTGGTTTTTTTTTTTTTTTTTTTTTGAGACAGGGGCTTACTCTGTATAGCCTAGGACAGCCTAGAACTTATGCTGTTGCTCAGGCTAGCCTGAAACTCATGGCATTCCTCCTGCTTCAAGCCTCCCAAGTGCTAAGATTATAAACTGTCTAACCAAGGCCCGTTTTCCACAGTGCTGCAGACTCCCACCAGTTTGTTAGAATTCTGAATCCACCACTGCATGAAGTCACCCATTAGGTCAAAGCCCTCCTGGTCTAATTCTCTCTAGGAGCACCCTTGTGGGCACACCAGGGACGTGCTTCCCAAAAATCCTAGGTTTTCTCAGTCCCGTCTAGTTGACAACTTAGATTAGCCGTCACAGCTGGACACGGGGCTCCCACCTTCCACCCCGTGGTGTTTGGAAGGCTGATCACTTTGAGTTCAAGGGACGCTAGGGTGACATAGTGAATCCCAGGCTAGCCTGGGCTTCAGAGGGAGACCCTACTTAAAAACAACAACCATGCAAACAAACAAAACTTTAAAAGAATGTTTTTAAGGGTTTCTGAATTCTGAGAATGATTTTTAAGTAAGAGTCTTCCAGCTAAGATTCAGCGAGGTCTAGGATTGCTCCAGGAAGGGAAAACACTGACCACGTGTTTCTTACAGCTCCTGATCATCTTCGAATAATGTGCTGGCAACAGGGTTCAGTTTTGTTAGGGCTATCATCACTAGGTGTCAGGGATGGACTCCAGGCCTGCATGCTCGGCATGTGCGGTACTACTGAGCTACACCTCCAGCTTTAAAAAAAAGTAAAGCAGGTGTACACATATACCTGTAATCACAGCGCTTGGGCAACAGAGGCAGGAGGATTGTCACAAGTTCACAAGCAGCCTGGTTTATATAGCAAATGTCAGTTCAGCCAGGGCTTTATAATGAGATTCTGTCACAAACAATGTAGTCTTGGAAGAGAAGAGGGGAGATGGGAAAGAGGAAGTAATTCGCAGTTTAAAATAGAGCAAAATTTGAACAGGCCATGACAGCACATTCCTGTAATCCCAGCATTTTGGAAGCTGAGGCAGGAGGATCATGAGTTCAGAGTTATCCTTGGCTATATAGTGAGCTTGAGGCCAACCTGCCTGGGTTACATGAAACCTCGTCTCAGAACAAACAAAACTGAATGGCTGGGCACTCTCCTTTCTCAAATGTCCTTTGTCCCCGGCTGTCTTTTATTGCTGATCTGGTGGCTACACTGGTGGCTTGTCTCTGACCTCCTTTATCTAGGACAACTCTGCTGCTTTATTCCGGTCATCCTGACCCTTGGAAGGCACAGGCCGGCCTGCAGCACTGTCCCACATTCTGTTTTGTCTGTCTGTCTCCTGGAGTTCTTCAGCTCAGCCTGTTCTCTGAATGTCCTGTAAACTAGAAGATAGATTAACAAGCTGATGAGGTTCAGGATTTCTGGCACCTCATATGACTGTCACAAGGCACAAGCAGCAGATTCTCTAATTTCTGGTGCCAAATCCGACCTTGGCCTGAGTGGCTGCCTCCAGAGATCTCTATGAGAAGCCATGGTCTCCCCTTTGCAGCTTTTTCCATTTTCCTTGCATTATTCATTGTGTTTGAGTTTGTGTATATGTGTAGTCACATGCCACAGCACACATGTGGAAGTCAGAGGACAACTTGTGGGAGTCAGTTCTCCCCTCCTACCCCACGGGTCCTGGAGCTTGAACTCAGCTTGTACTCATTAGGCATCTCAACATCTCTCCCCCGAATGTGTTACTATTTTGGGTATCTGTCTGTTTTCTGTTGCTATAACACACTACCATAGACAGTGTGATGAAGAGAACAGGTTGGGGATGCAGAGATGGTTCAGCAGTTAAGAGCACTTGATGCTCTTGTCAAGGACACAAGTTCGGGCCCCAGCACCCACATCAGGCAGCTCACAACTGCCTGTAACTTTCCCTTTTCTCAGAAAACTACTAGGATTTAGGCTGGAGTCCACCCCGAAGCCCGTCTCTACCCCCAGAGGCCCTACTGAGGACAGCAGTCACTCTACCTCCCTCTTCTTCTTCTTCTTTTTTTTTTTTTTTAATTTTTTATGTTCATTGGTGTTTTGCCTGCATGTATGCCTGTGTGAGGGTGGTGGATCCCCTGGAACTGGAGTCACAGACAGTTGTGAGCTGCCATGTGGGTGCTGGGAATTGAACCCGGGTCCTCTGAAAGAGCAGCCCATGCTCTTAACTGCTGAGCCATCTCTTCAGCCCCATCCCTCTACTTGGTATTCACCCTGGGAATTACATTTTCTCACAGGAAACCATGGCTCAATCTACCCATCTCAGGTTGCCCATGGCACGAAGCCACTTGCATTCTAACACAGGCCAGAGGTCGCCATGGTGAGCAGTAGGATGGAGTGCTTTGTGCGCATGGCTGAGACTCTGCTTCCCTTGTTTCCTGATCCCTAGGGCTCTGTGACTCTAGGTCCTCTAGACCCCTGGAGAATCGACGGAGCGTCCTGTTTCTCAGAGGTGCCTCCTGACCAGACACTCCAGAAACTGATTCCATCCATCTCTGCCTTAAGTCACTAGTCACTAGATGGTGTGACTGCCATCTCTAGTGTCTGAGGTGGCCTTGTTTTTTCTCTCCTGCCCACAGCCTGCTGTGGAGGTGCCCCAGTACGTGGGGATCCGGCTCCTGGTGGAGGGCTCTACCATCAAGAAGCCCATGGCAGTGGGTCATCGGCGGACAGGGGTCCGCTCATCACTCCCTCATCTGCCGACCCAGCAAGGCTCTGGGGAAGGCAAGGACTCAGGATCCCCTACCCACAGGTCAGCCTCTAGGAAGGACGTTGGGGCCAGGAGCCTGGGACACACTGAGAAGCCCGACTCTACTGTCACCACCTCGGTCCCCGGAAAGGGGAAGAAAGGCAAGGCGAAAAGTGCCACCGCCCTGGTCTGCCTCACCCTCCAGAAGTGGGAGCCCCCCGAAATCAGGGTGGGCCACATTTTCAACAGGTCACTGTGTCTGAAACAGCCCGAGGCCTGGGGTAATCCGATGTCCCCCCCAAACCCCAGTGCTCCCAAAGCCACTTCTGCCTGCTCTGCAAGCCCTTCCCAAGCACCTGGGCTTGCCCTCCTGCCAAAAGGCCACCAGTGATAGCAAGTATGAACACTGCTCACCAAATATCTTTAAATATACAACCAAATGATCATTCCAAAGTAGTCACCCTGCCAGGCAGTTAGACCAGAAGATGCCACGGTTGGTCCTCGAGTGCGCGTCCCCGGACTCCAGACCTTGGCTGCTGCCCTAGCCAGCCTTTGCCCTCCTCACACTTCTCTGGGGAAAGGAGCTGCCATCGTGCCCTTCCCGACCCTAACCAGCCCCCTTAGCCCTCACAACCGCCTGGTGAGATAGGTGCTATTGTCCCCATTTTCCAGCCGAGGTAGCAGGAAGTTTAAGGACGTTGCCCGAGGTTGCACAGCTCAGAAGGGGCAGAGCTGGGATGCAGACCCAGGTCTGTTGGTTCCCCAACCCTGTGTTCTTCCCACTGCCTCTGGAGGAGGAGCTGGGAGGGGCTCCGTCCACCCTCGCCTCCCGTCCCCCCACCTCTGCACGTGCCCTGTGGAACTGGTCAGGCTGGGGCCCTCCCCAGCCCCTCACGGCTCCCCTTCTCCCACAGACCCTCCCCACTTCCCTAGTCTCCATTCCAAGGCCTGGCTGCCTTCTCCCTGCGTGCTCCGACCCCAGGGCCGGGTCCTCAGACTGCAGCATGGCCAGCTGGTGGGCTCTAAGGCTCTGTCAACCACAGGCAAGGCCTTGATGACTCTACCTACTGCCAAGGTTCTGATGTCCTTCCCACCTCACCCTGATCTCAAGCTGGCACCCAGCATGCTGAAGCCAGGACAGGTGGGCCTCGAGCTGGGCCTCACACCCTGGCGGGTAGTGCTGAGCAGTGGGATCGGGGCTGAAGGGCACAGACAGAGGGCATCGCCCAGACAATACAGTGCCCCAGGGAAGGGCTTATCCTGCCCAGAACCCTGTTCCAAGACAGAGGCCTGATCATCTCTCTCTCCCTCCCCTCCTTTACACCGAGGCTGCTATTCCCCGGCACCTTGGAGGCCCCCACTTTGGAAGTGCCTTGTGGCCAATGCCCTTTGGAGTTGGACCTCTTCCTAGCACCCACAGGAAAGTCAAGGCCAAAGGCAAGTTCAAGGCCAGACTCTGCGACAAACCCAGGGCTGAGGCCTACCCCGAGAAGAGGCTGAGCCTCCCCAAACCCTTGACCCTTATTTTGACATGCCGGACACGGAGGATCATGGGGGCTAGGAGGCTAGAGAACCCCCTGCTCTGATCTCCACTGCCCCATCCTGGATCCAGCATCAAATTAAAAAAGCAAGTAAAGTTCTCTGGGCTTGGCTTGACTAATGGGAAGCAAGGCTCGTAACAAGAGCTGACCAGCAGGGCCTCCATCACCAAGGGCCGCAGTCCCCACCCAGGGACAGACATTAGCTTCCTCCGCAGGAAGACTGGGGTGCCTGGGGAAAGGGCCTTCACCGTGCAGATGAGGAAACTGGAAGGTCAGCCATCAGGAGTGCCCCTTCCCAAAGACAAGCTGGGCTGCCAGAAGAGCTTCTGACGGGCACAGAACATTATGACAAGAGTTGGGCTTTCCCTAAACCTCAGCCCCTCTCCAGAGAGGATGTCTGTTCCTTCCCTCAGTGAGGGATTGGTCAAGCCACCTAAAACTGTAAGAGCTAAGACCCAAGTCAAGTGTGGCATTCCCCACCTGTACAGCCCTGGCTGCCGGGCCTCCAGAAGCGGTGTCTGTCTGTGTGAATGTGTGCGGGGTGGAGGGGGGGTGTCAAAATCCAATGACCTGTGTCCTTCAAATTCAGAAGAGCCCACGCGTGTACAGTGGTGCCCGCCTATCCTCCCAGTACTTGGGAGGCAGAGGCAGGTGAATCTCTGAGCTCCAGTCCAGCCAGGGCTACATGGAGAGGCCCAGTCTCAAAAACAAACCAACCTCCTCCTGGCCAGGAGTATGGCAGACGCCACCTCCAGACCTGGCCACTGTTCGCTTGAGCAGAGGGCACCGTCCCTGGTAAACATTTGCTTTCCTCAGAAGATCCTCAAAAGCAGGCTTGTGAGGTAGGACTTTTATTATTTTAAGTCCAGAGAGAAGTCACCTGCCCAGCGCTGCCCAGCAAGCAAGTGGCCTAAGGAGATTTGATCTTAGGACCTTGACTGTGCTCGGCACCAACCCCACTGTCCCTGAGCTGGGTCACGGCCCTTCCTCTTCCGTCTTCCAGTTGGGGGTCAAGCACTGCCTGATGGGAGAGCCGTAGGCACCGCAGGGACCGAGAGAAGTAGGAGGGCAGGGGTGCCAGAAGTTCCCTGGGCGGGTCCCTGGATCTGGGGCCCGGGAGGAGGAGGCGGTGCAGGTGCAGGTGCAGGGGCATCTGGGCCACCTGGGAAGGACGCAGGTGGAGGCGTCTGAGGAGAGCTTCATCCAGGACCTGGGGTGGGAAGACGGCAGCCCATCCGAGTTCCAGCCAGAGGAGCACCCAGCCCTGATGGACCTCCCTGGTCTGCAACTGCAGAAATTTTCACTACAGGCAGACCGCGTCTTCTCTCCGCACAGAGCGAAATTACATTTCAGCTGCTTTTGTGTTCAGTGAAGCCATGTGATTAAGCCTCTGGCCACTGGGATGTGAGGAGAAGCCTCGATTCACAAAAACTTCCAGTCTCCTCTTCCGGCCAGAAAGTCATAGCCCTTGTCTCCAAGTGGAGAGCCAGGCCCACTCCTACTGCATGCCCATTCTCTAACTTAACTTGAAGAAATGATACACAAACCCGCTCCAAAGGATGGTGGACTTCGGGGCTGTTAGAGGTCAGCAACCACCCCCCCCACACACACACACACCCCCGACGAACTCATGAACAGAAGGAAGCCTGAGGGAGTATGACACTTGCCCAGCCACACGGCACCACAGGGGCACAGGTGGCCCCAAAGGCCAAGCCAACCCCTCTAACCCTCCAAACATGGAGTAAGCATATGGGCCTGAGGACCTACCTGTGTCTGGGGCTTGGTGGTCTCGGCTGGCCACAGAAAGCGCTGGCCCAGGACGGTGCCCACTCGAGCAGCATAGGTATGGTCCCCAAGCACTGGGCAGAGCTGTAGGGCCATGTGCACCTGCAGCTGACTGGGGAACACTGAAAGATGGGTGGGAGGCGGTTGTTCTTCCTGACCATGAAGGACTGTTCCCATCTGCAGAGCCTGTGGATCTGCGAGGCGACCTCCGCCTCCACAGAGAGGCTCATGAGCAGGTCAGCACAGGGACAGCTGACAACCCACCCAGCCTGGGGATAACAATGTGTGCTGGCTGCTAGGCTGTGGGTGTGCACCTAAACCCCGCTGCCTCCCGCTGAGCCCACTCACACCCCCTTGGGGTCCACCAGACGCTCTCTGGATGTTGCCGAGCACCGTCTTCCGCACAGGCTTTATACCTCCCCAGCAGGGTACTGTTCAGACCCACCTGTCAGTGGCTGCAGCTGGACCAGGGCACAGCCACAGCCTGTGGCCATCACATGGAAATGGCTGAGGGTCCTCTTGACACCTTCTAGGATGGCCTTTCGAGATGGCGATGTCACCGGGACTGCCTAGGGTGCCGGTCAAGAATGACTTAGCACACGTCTAGGAGCCCCACTGAGCACCCCTGCTGCCAGCTGACTTAGGACAGGGCCTCTTGCCTGTTAGGGGACAGGGGAACTAGCCACCCCATGTGCACAGTACAGACTCCTCTGTAAGGCAAAACCTGAAAGGACTCCTCTGGTGGCCTCTGACTCACAAGATCAACGCCATCCATGCGTTCCAGCTTCAGAGCCACGTGGACGGTCCCCTCAGAAGGCTCAGGGATGCCATCAGTGATGGCACTGAGAAAGGGAAAGGAAGTCTCAGAGCAGCTGGCGGGGACCTTCCCTCGGCCCTGGGGGTCACCCCGCACCTCTCACCAGTAGGTGGCTGTGGGTCTCCGGGTTCTCCTTGAGTGGACGAAGAACTTCTGCAAGTGGCTAGCTGTCTGGGGACAGCTGGAGAGGAGCACAAGTCCAGAGGCCTCCCTGGAAGAAGGGGACAAGTCACATAAAGCCTCCTGGTCATAAAAAGGAGGGCCAGCATTCAGCACCCACATGGTGGGTCACAACTGTAATTATAGTTCCAGGAGACCTGATGCCCACTCCTGACCTCTGGGGGCACCAGGCATGCACCGAGGTGCACGCACATACACTCAGGCTAAACACACATTAAAAACAAATCTTGGGTCTTTTTAAAGGAGACCCTCAAGGGGCCGGAGAGATGGCTCAGCAGTTAAGAGCACTAGCTGCTCTTCCAGAGGACCCGGGTTCAATTCCTAGCATCCACATGGTAGCTCACAACTGTTAACTCCAGTTCCAGGGGGTCTGAGACCCTCACATAGACATACATGCAGGTAAAGCACCAATGCACATTAAAAAAAAGTATATATATAAAAAAAAAAAGGAGACACACACACACACCTCCCCAAAGGATCACCAGCTTAAAGCCCAACAGCAATGCCAGGGTTATAGTGCAGACCTCCTGAAAAGGCCAGGCCTTTTCTCTGGCCCCCAGAGAACTCAGAGCCAAACGCCCTAAGAGTTATTACCAATGCCCGAGTGTCTACCACGTGCCAGGCACCTGAACAGGGCTTTGATATACAATGGGTGTAAAAGAAATGCTCACCACACTCATCACTTACTTTCCAGGCGCTCGCACAACCTGGAGCTCCCGGTGCCCGAGCCCCAGGGCCTGGCTCAGCTGTGGCAGTACAGAAACTAACGTCAGCTCCCCAGGTCTCCCTGAGAATTAAGGGGAGAGGGCAAGTTGCCAGAGCACCATCCAACCATCTCCTCCCCGCCAGCCTCTCCCTCCTCGTCCCTGCCCATACCTGTCACGGGCAGACCCTGTGGCTTGTTCAGTGTCACCAGAGGTCCTGGAAGATTCCATAGATGTCAGCAAAAGCAGGGCAGCCTGTGTGCATGCAGCCTTGGGGGTCAAACTGAACTTCCTGCTCTCTGCACCCCAGGGCCTTTGCACTTGCTGTTCTGGGCTTTCGTTCACATTGGCTCCAACATAGCTCGATATAATGTGTGCTCAAACAGGTTGGCCTCACACTCGCTATATAGCTAAGCCTGGTCTTGAACTCCCGATCCTCCTTGCCTCTAACTCCCAAGTTCTGGAATTACATGTGTGGTCACCAGTCCCAGAAACAGCAGAGACTCCTTATTTCTCACATCAGAACGCTTGATCTCTCAAGGCAGGAGCGATATTTATCCCAGTACTGTGTACTCTCCTCATTGTTACATGAACTGAGAGGGTCAGATCAACTCTTATTCCTAAAGGCACACAGCATGCTGCTTACAGACAGACCCCAGTTCTAACTAATCCCAAAGCTTGTTCTGACAGGAAACTAACTTCTGCTACTGCCGGTCGGTGTGAAGGTTTCCTATGCCTGACCCCACGATGCTGAGGCTAGGAGAGGGAAATGTGACCGCTGGCCGGGCTCTTGCAGCTACAGGGGTCTGACTCCAGGGGGTGAGAGGCTCAGGAGCAGCAGGCTCCCCTCACCTTTCTGATCCACCACAGCTGCCCTCAGGACTTCAGCCAGCTCCTCCGGGCCGAGGTTCTCTGTCCGCAGAAGCCCCGGGAAGGGCTCGTCCTCCACTGGGTTCTTGCGCTTGCTAGAACCTTGAGGTTGAGGCCGACGTCTGAAAAAAATGACAGAAACCGGTACCTCCTCTGCCCATCCTGCCCAGTGCAGCCTTTTCTTACAAAAGCCTCAGAACTCCCGGGCTCAGCTGACAGTTGAGGCCCACATGCCCTCCCAAGATTACAGAAGAGGCATCAGACGCTCAGAGCGCCAAGGATGTCGGTCGGGTCTCACAACACAGCTGGGATTAGAACCCATGTCCGGATCTGAATGCCGAACGTCCCCTTGTCCTAGCCTCCTGCCTACACGGAAGTGGCGTGTTAGAATCACCGGGCCTCGGTGCCGAAGTCTGCATCTCTCCGCCGTGCGCCAACCTTCAGCCCGGGACGCCAGGTCCCAGAGACCCAACTCCAAACACGCCAGGAACCCATCACCGGAGCAAAGCACGGACGCATGCGTGTCCACGGGACTGCCCACCACGTGCACCCTCCATGCGCCGATTGGTCAGACAGGCTGTCAATCAGAACACCGAGCAGGCGGAGCTCCGAGGAGGGAAGGAAAAGTGCCACTTGGGGTTCAGCTTTGGGAAAAACTGAGGCACGAGGCGGGGATGTTTACTCGCGGTAGGGGACGTGTCTCGGACTAGAAAGAGGCGAGCTTGCAGATTGTCGTTTCAGTT